GGACACCAGCCCAGGTTCGCCTGAGCTTGTCACACATCTGCGGTGAGTTGCCAGGTCAGCGGGAGCACTTGGCGACTACGTTGGGTGGCTCATCCTTGTCCTTGCGGTTCTCTCTGTTCTGCAGTTTGTGCTCGGGCACGTGCAGGGCCCATGGCAGGACCCCCGAGAGCGGGAGTGGAGCTCACTCAGCTCCACTGGGGGAGGGCAGGGCTCGGATTCCCAAATGCAGGGAGTGAGCTGCACATCCAGGAGACGCCCCAAGGTTGCTCTTGCTGTCCTGGGGAGACAGGGGAGCAGTTGGGTGGCCAGGCAGGAGTAAGCGAGGCCCCCCGACTTGGGGACTCTGCAGGACCGTCAGAGGAGCTAAGGGGCCCTGGCCGGAGGGCAGGGGTTGGGGACTGAATGCCTCCTGCATCCTTATGGCTGGGCTGGGGGTATGGAGCCTGCACAGGAGTGAAGTGGCCCTGGCCACAGGGGAGGAGGCCAGTCGGGTCTTACCTCGAAGAGGCTACAGTTAGGGCAGAGATGTCCTTGCTCCGTCTTAGGAAACCAAGGAAGGAGCAGGGGAGCGGGTGATAATAATGGGAGGTGCTAACTCTAGCCTAGAGCCCTGACTATCCGGTGCTGCCCCTCCACCCCCACATGATGGCTATGTTCACCTGAATTCCTTTTCCTATCACAGCATCCCACACCCCGATCTTTTCTGTCTCTCCCCATCCCAGCCCCAGAATCGGCAAGTACATCTGGTACACCCCTTGAGGAGACCCAGGCCATCTCTAGGTAGCAAAGCCCAGACCTACTTGTATGTTGACTTCCTGGAGAAGGGGGCCTTCAAGTTCGATTCTGAAGCAGGCAGAAGTGGGGGTGAGCGGGGTGGACTCAAGGCCCAGGGTTCTCCATTCCACTCAGCGCCTGTCCCACCTTGTCACCAGGGCCTTGCATATACTGGACTCCCGGGATAAGCCTTCCTTCAGCTTCTTAGTCCGTGAAGCTGGGTGCAGGACCAGTGTAGAGACTGTGCTGCCCCCAGTCCAGCCTCCCTCACTCACAGGCACACCTGTCTCTCTTTTCCATTCACCCATATCCCTGCGCAACTGTGTTTCCCAGTCCATCTGACACTGGGCTCAGGTCTCCTTGCACGTAGCATACTGAATTTCAGCCTGGGAGGCAGGCTGGGAACAAGAATATGGAATGTCTTGAGTGCCAGAAACCGGCGCGTGGACTTTCTTCAGGGGCCAATGATTGGTCCTGAAAATGCAAACATGGGAAGGGGGTCAGTTACTGAGCAAAGTCAGAAACTGCAGCCGCTGAGTGAGACCTGACTGGGAGGACTTTCCGCAGGTAGAAGAGGTGAAGAAGATGAAGATTGGCAACCCTCTAGACCGGGACACCAACCATGGGCCGCAGAATCACCAAGCCCACCTCCGGAAGCTGATAGAGTACTGCCAGCGCGGCGTGAAGGAAGGGGCCACTCTGGTCTGCGGTGGGAATCAAGTCCCTCGGCCAGGTCAGTCAGAGCACTGCGGGCCCACTTGGGCAGACTGAGGCGGCAGGCAGCATGGCCTGTGGTTTCTTGCTCAGCTCTAACAGGAGGTATGTGAAGGCCTGGTGCCTGCACAATCAGACTCCCAGGTCTCAGGCCCCATGCAATCTCTTGGATGGGGCGGCCTTGGCTAGCTGGACACCTGTCACACCAGGTGTGGGACTGGCAAGGTGAAGGCTGGTTTAATCTATATTGTAGTGGACTCTGACTTGCCACTAACGTCACTGCATCCTTGACATTCTTTCCTCCCATGGGTTCCATGGCCCTGGAGTGCATGGTTTTCCCATCTTTGGCCATTACTTCTTGGCAGTTGCTCTTTGCTGGAAGCTCCCTCTTAAATGGAGGTAGATCCCCAGGTCTGTCCTGAGTTTGAAGCACTTCTTATGTTAGACACTTTTCCTAGAGCGGTGGTTGGCAAACTGCAGCTTGGCAAACCGCGGCTCGTGAGCCACATGCGGCTCTTTGGCCCCTTGAGTGTGGCTCTTCCACAAAATACCGGCTCTTCCACAAAATACCGACTTCTGCACATGGGCCACAAAGTTTCAATCGCACTGTAAGTGCGTGCCTGCACGTGGTATTTTGTGGAAGAGCCACACTCAAGGGGCCAAAGAGCCGCATGTGGCTCGCGAGCTACAGTTTGCCGACCACGGCCCTAGAGGACCTCACTCTCAGCAATGGCTCGGATGCTCCCAAATATCTGTCTCCAGGCTCCTCCTCACTCAGGATTCCTGACTACCTGGACACCTCCACCTGCATGTCCCCCAGGCCCTTCAAACTCAAGGGTACCAAATCCATCACATCATCACAGCAGCCCTAGAACCAACCTGATCCCAGACACACACACCAGTATCTCTAGAACCTTCCATTTGATTAAGTCAGCAGAGCCAGAGGGGCCGGAGCCACTGGTATGGACTGTTTGCGCTGCTTCCCCTTAGACTGCCTGCTCCAGAGGCACAGGAGCGCATGTCACCAGAAAAACCCAAGTCTTTGTCATAGTCTGGAGCTTCTGTGCTGGTCTTGGACAGACTTGGACCCCAATGTCAGCTTTATCATAGACCAACTCTTAGCCTCATTTTCCTCAGCGGCGTTTAGTTGAAAGGGTTGTGAGGCTGAAGTGAGCTCACATGTCTGGGACAGGAAAGCCATGCACAGAGGGTGGCATCACCATACAGGTATCACACATGGCATTGCTGGAGTGGGATGTGCGTGTGGCTGGCGGGACCCAGCCTGGAGGGGAGAGGCTGCTGGAGGAGGGCTTCCCCATGCCGTGGGCCTCTGTCTCCCCCACAGGTTTCTTTTTCGAGCCAACTGTTTTCACGGACGTGGAGGACCACATGTTCATAGCCAAGGAAGAGTCCTTCGGGCCTGTCATGGTCATCTCTCGGTTTGCCGATGGGTAGGGAATCCTGCTTTTGTCTCTCAAGAGCCTGATGTCTTGCCACGTGTTACGGGTTCTCCACATGAGCTTGTGGGAACTCAGAGGGGAACTCAGACAGGTGGGGGGCTGTGGATGCAGCCCGGCTGCCTGCCGAGGCCGCGTCAACCACTGAGGTGAGGAGAGCCCCAGGGCACTGGCAGGGCTTTGGGTCCCCAAGTGAGCATTCCTCAGCCTTTGGATGTCTCTCCTGGTGTGTTTGGGCTGTGTCCTCATCATCTACTGCTGTGTAATAAACCACCCCAAGACAGCGGCT